CGCTCGCCTCCTAACCACGCAGGAGAACATTCTCCGTGGAAATGCAGTGCTTCTGGGACCCAGGGGCAGGTGTCCCGCGGCACAGCGGAGCAAATCCGTGCCTGGGACCCCCGCGTCTGCACCCGAGAGCCGCTGGGGTCCCCGCTGGAGTCCCGGCTGCTCGGCTTCGGAGCCAGCTTCCCGCTGGTGCGTCCCAGAAAGGCAACGGGTGATGGCCCAGACACCTGGGCCCCTGCCCACCACGCGCCAGACCAGGAGGGTGTCCTGGGCTCCTGGCTTCAGCCTAGCCCAGCTGGCTGTTGTGGGCATTTGAAAGAAAGAGCTTTCTCTCTCCTTTCTCTCTGTCCCTCCCGTGTGTGTGTGTCCGTGTGTGTGTGTGTGCCCGTGTGTGTGTGTGTCCGTGTGTGTGCCCCACGGTGTGTGTGTGTGTGTCCGTGTGTGTGTGTGTGTGTGTGTGTGTCTCCCTCTGTGTCCGTCTTTCACATACTTTTTTTTCTTTTACAAAATTCTCAGTTCAGCGTCCTGGGCTTCCACCAAAACATCAGAGGACAAAGCGGGTGAGCTAGAAGACATTTCTTCAATTTTAAAAATGGAGTCCAAACCCTCTGTTCAAGAAAAAAAAAGCCCAAAGGGGAATCCCCCCCCCCAAAACAGCCCAGAGCAAACTGTCCCAGGCCTGGAAGTCATTGGCTGCCCCACCCCCATCCCATGCCCTCTCTGTTCCCCACACCCACACCCACACCTGAGGCCGCCATATGTGTGACCCAGGCTGCAAGGCCAGGGGGGCTCTCTATGATGGCAGGGACCAGGGTCTCGTCTGCACCCAGGTCACCTCATGACCCAAGGCAGCTGCCGAGCGGCAGCCATTATGTGTGCATCCCTGCCAGCAGGAAGGAGAGGTGGAAGCTCTAGCTCTCTGCCTTCAGGGAAGCTTTCTCCAGTTCCCCTTCTGCCCCTTCGATGGTTGGCGGAAGCTAATTGGGAACGGGACCGCAGGCGTGTGGGCGCCACCAGCAGTCACGGCCTCACTGGGTCCCCAGAGCCACCCTGCACACTGCCTCCTCTGCCTGGGCCAAGGTCTGCTTCTCCCCAGAAGCTCACGAGTGTTCACGCTGGACAGCGGAACGAGTGAGGTGGATGGCGCTGGGGCTGACGCTGCTTTTGCTGATGCGTTGGAGGCAGGGAGCAGCCAAGGCCCCCCCCACACCCCGCAAGCCCCTGCAACACCCGCCTCTCACTGCCGGGGGAGCCCCAGGCCCGCCCAGCCCTCAGGCGCTTGCACAGACACCGCCTGGTGTGTCCTGGGCTGGGCGCGGTTTTCCTCGAAGGCCACTTCATGGGGAGATCCAGGTGCTCCTGGATTTCCAACAGCCCCTTGGAAACCTAACTGGGAAACCCGCAGTCCACCTCCCTCCGAGCACCCTGACCTAGGTGCACAGCGCAGGGCTGCCTGGCGGCGAACACTGCCACCACCCGATCTGGCTTCTTCTGCGTGTGTGTCGCCTTCGCGTCATTATTAAGCTGAGAACCGGGGCCGGCACTGTGACGTAGCGGGTAAAGCTGCCGCCTGCAGTGCTGGCATTCATATGGGCACCGGTTGGAGTCCCGGCTGCTCCACTTCCGATCCAGCTCTCTGCTATAGCCTGGGAAAGCAGTAGAAGATGGCCCAAGTCCTTGGGCCCCTGCACCCATGTGGGAGACCCGGAAGAAGCTCCTGGCTCCTTGGCCAGCGCAGAGGCTCACTAGGCTAATCCTCCGCCTTGCGGCGCCGACACACCGGGTTCTAGTCCCGGTCGGGGTGCCAGATTCTGTCCCAGTTGCCCCTCTTCCAGGCCAGCTCTCTGCTGTGGCCCGGGAGTGCAGTGGAGGATGGCCCAAGTGCTTGGGCCCTGCACCCCATGGGAGACCAGGAGAAGCACCTGGCTCCTGCCATCGGATCAGCGCGGTGCACCAGCCGCGGCGGCCATTGAGGAGTGAACCAACGGTAAAGGAAGACCTTTCTCTGTCTCTCTCTCTCTCTCTCACTGTCCACTCTTCCTGTCAAAAAAATAATAAAAAATAAATAAATAAAAAAAGGAGCTCCTGGCCCCTGGCTTCTGATCAGGGCAGCTCCAGTTGTTGAACCATCTGGGGAGTGAACCAGTGAAAGAAGATACCCCTCTCTCTCTCTCTCTCTCTCTCTCTCTGCCTCTCCATGACCTCGCTATGACTCTGCCTTTCAAATAAATAAATCTAAAGAAAGAAAGGAAGAGGGTAGGGTAGGACCCTCCCTGCTGACAGTAATGTCAGAGCACGGATGTGGAGACTTCATGGGAAAATGGAATTTAAAGCCTCAGTTGATTTTGATGTAAAAAAAAAAAAGGTGGTGAAAATTTGTTCCTAATGCTTGAAACACACATTCTGAGAAAGCTATGTCTCACAAAAATCTCACACTTTTTGTTCCTTTTGTTTTCCACAAACTCATTCTGAATGACAGAGAGACAGACAGCGCTCATCTCCTAGTTCACTCTCCCAAGAACCCACACCGGCCAGGGCTGAGCCGCAGTGCAATGCTGGTGTCCCACGGTGGGACAAGAAGCCCCACCGCCTTCCTAGAGTGAGCAGGAAGCCAGGGTCGGGAGCCAGAGTCTGGAATGGGATGCGGGTACTCTGATGTGCTCTGTGCCTACCTTAACCACAAAGCTAAACTCCCACGCCCGCCGGGAACTTCTAGAAGTAGCCGAGTATGTACCCAAGTCGTTACACCTGCCTGCACCCTACCTGGAATGAACCACAAGAAACCGGAAGCATTCGCTGTGCTTAGAGAGAGAGAACCGGAGCGACTGGTGAGCTACCGGGTCTTCTAGAACTTGGGAGTTGCACAGGACATGAATTTACTGCCTATACAGAAACCAGGGAGAGCCAACATTGTTCAGCTTAGCATTATCAGAAGGGTGCTGGCCGAGAGTCAGGACCCCGTGGATGCAGCCTTGGATAGAGTCTCTTTTAAAACAGTATTTTTCTTTTGCATGGATTTGTTTTGAAAGGCAAAGACAGTCAGATCTCCCGTCAGCTGGTGCGCTCTCCAAACGCCCATAGCAACCAGAGCCGGGCCAGGCAGAAGTCAGGAGCCAGGATCTCAATTCTCAGTCTCTCCTGTGGGAGGCAGGGACCCCAGCACTCGAGCCATCGCCTGCGCCATCCAGGGTCTGCATTAGAAGAAGCTGGAATGAGAAGCGGAGGCAGGACTTGAACCCAAACATTGCACTGTGGGATGCAGGTTCCTAGGCGGCATCTTTAACAGAGCAGGCGCCAAGCATGCCCCGCCCCGCGTGTCCGCGCCTGTATGAGAGCCGGGGCTCTGGCTCCCGTGGGGATTTACACAGGATGGTGTCTTCCCAATGATCCCAAGGACCTGCAAGAAAGCAGGGAAGGGCTTTCTCCCTGTAGCCATCCTGCCCTTCCCTCAGCTAACAGCCAGGGTGCAGAAACTCCCAGGAGATGGGGAGGGGGGGCTGCCCCCAGCACACCCACTGCCTAGGGCCAGGGCCTGATAAGACAGGTGGCTGGCTTCAGAGAGCAGTCGGGTCTGGGTGTGGCCCCACTGGCAATATTTACCCGGGCAGGAGGTCCCTTCTCCATGGCCTGCACCCCGCCCTCTTGCTTCCTAGAACCCTGGAGACAGACCAGGTCGGGTGGGGTCGAACGTGGGCAGGTGGAAGTTGGTATTGTTTTATGACGCTTTTATTTCAGATCTTTATATGTGTGTAGGTGGGGATAAAAGTGCAACAGAGCGCCCCCCACACCCTCCCCGCTCTCCCTTTGCCCCTCCCCATAAATAATGGTGCTGTCAGCTTTATGGGTGACTGAAGCCCCACCCCCTCCCCCGGATTTCGTGGAAAGGAGTGGGAGAGGGGGATGGCCTGGAAGTGCGGGTTGCTAGGGAGCCCCCCCACCCCCGCGCGTGTGCCTGCCTCGCCCAGGGAGAGCCCAGGGCCCAGGCAGCCAGCGCCAGATGTCGCCTCCCTGCACCTGCTGCCCCCCGCGGCTGACTCCTCTGCATGTCCGCTTATTCTCTGGCGTTTTTGGAAGCAGGGGCCGTGGCAGCAAAGTGGGCGCAGCTGCCCTGGAACCCGTGGCCGCAGGAAGCTGTGCCCCTGCTGCCGCATTCCTGAACCCCCTCCTGCCCTCCGCCTTGTGGACCGCTCCCACAGAGGCCAGCCCCTTCACACACTTCATGGAACCCGTCCACACCCGTAGACACACAGGACACCCCCCACGTGCAAATACAGGATGCGCACACGCCCTCTGTATCATAAACAACGCCTAAAAGGCGGGGTGGCCAGGTGGAGCAGGGCAGGTCCTGCGCAGCGCCCTCTGGGGCTCTTAAAACTGCAGGCATGGCACAGCCCGTGGTGAACAGGCCCGGAGCTAGGAAGCACGCAGGAGCCCGGGCTGGGCTGGCCACTGGGCTCCGACCCGGGGCTCTCTGCGAGGAGCCATGGTGGGTTGGTCTTGGGGCAAGGAGCTGGAACCCTCGGGGTAACGCCGCATTGAAGACACCAGGGTCTCATCCCCAAGTGCCTGGGTTCAAATCCCGGCTCAGGCTCCTGACCCCAGCTTCCTTGCTGGTGCAGACGTGCGGAGGCAGCGGGGATGGCTCCAGGGACTGGGACCCTGCCACCCACGTGGGGGACCTGGAGTTTCAGCTCTTTGCTTCTGGCCAGCCCTCATGCTTGCGGGAGTTTGTAGAGCGAACCAGCTTGCTTTCTCAAACCGATTTTCTTTCATTAAATTAAAGCTCTTTTATCTAGCTCAGAGTGTGTTGTACGGGTTAGATGAGTATCTTCAAGCACGCTGAAACCACACAGCTTACAGGTGCAGAATGGGGGCCCAGCAATGGCCAAGCCGCCAAAGCAGGGCTCAGCAAGGGGGTCTCTTGGGGAAGCGGCTGGAGCCGGCCAGCCAGCCCTGCCCTGCACCCTCCCACCCCATGGACATGGAATGTACTTGCAGCCAGGTTAGGTGGGCCGGGTTAGAGCCGGCTGAGTTTTTATTTTGAAAAAGACGTGCATTGATTCTTCATTGGGGGCACGGGCAAGAGGGCAGTAGGCTCCCCCCAGGGTGGGCTAAGGGCTTGGGCTGAGCCTCTCGGGTGACTGTCTTGCTCCCCAACCCCCCTGGGGGACAGCCTGGGGGAGGGGTGTGGCCGTTCACTTGGCCAGCACGTCGGAGGATTCGGACACCAGCTTCCCGTCACGGGTCTCGATCTTCTTCACCACCACGGCCTTGGAGCGGGTAAAGGAGCTGGAGCCCCCGCCGGGGCCGAAGCCAGACTGGAAACTCAGGCCGTAGTTGAGGCCAGGGCTTGCGAGGCTCCCAAAGCCAGAGCTCAGCCCACCTGCAGGGACGGAGGGAACTGGATGAGCACCTGGGCCCCTCAACGCAAAGGGGTCTGAGTCTCTTCTCTTTGCCTTTGCCCTGGACAGTGGTGGGAGAGGGGGGCCCAGCCCAGGGCTGTGGGACCAGTGACTGCAGCCATCACTGCTCCAGAGCTGGCTGGTGGCAAAGAGCGCCCCTGGCGGCTGGGTGACCTGGGACAAGGCATGTAACTGCCTCCGCTGCACATCAGGAAAGGGTATAGGAGTTGTACAGAAAGGGCAGGCATTCAGCATGATGGTTTAAGACGCCACTTGGGAAATCCACAGCCCATATCCGAGAGCCTGGGCTCCTGTCCCAGCTCTGCACCCAATTCCAGCTTCCTGCAGATGTGCAGCCTGGGAGGCAGCCGTGATGTCACCCACGTGGGCAACCTGGATTGTGTTTCGGGCTCCTGCCTTTGGCCTGGCCCAGTCCCAGCTGTTGCAGACATTTGGGGAGTGAACCAGTGGATGAGAGTTCACTGGTGCGTGCTCTCTCTCTCTCTCTCTCTTTCTCTAGCTCCCCCTGCCTCTCATATAAGTCAATAGATAGCTCATTTGTAAGTGCACAAAGCATGCAAAGCCCTGGGCACAGGGCCTGGCACATGGGTGCTTGCACCAGAAACTACACTAAATGGGGTCCTGCATGTCACCCCTCATCCAGGCTTCTCCCAAGAACAGGAGTCCTGTTCTGCCTCTCCCCCAGGGTCACACAGAGCTCCTGAGCCCCAGGCCTCCCCGGTCCCGCCCTGCTCCCTGTACCCCGGGGCAGCCCACCCCCCACACTCACCCGCGTAGCCAGTGGTGGTCTTGGTGTGGATACTCATGTTCTGCATCCCAGACTCCAGCCTGCACCCAGACACACGGGGAGTCAGGGCCGGGCCCTCCCCCTTCTGCACAGGCAGCCCCCACCCCCTCCCCACCCAGGTGCAGGCAGAACCCCCGCCCCGCCCCCACCCCCGCCGGGCGCACCTGCTCTCCTCGCCCTCCAGCAGCTTCCTGTAGGTGGCGATCTCGATGTCCAGGGCCAGCTTCACGTTCATGAGCTCCTGGTACTCGCGCAGCTGCCGCGCCATGTCCTGCTTGGCCCTCTGCAGGGCGGCCTCCAGCTCGGCCAGCTTGGCATTGGCATCCTTAATGGCCAGCTCCCCACGCTGCTCGGCGTCGGCGATGGCGGCCTCCAGGGTGGCCCTCTGTAGGGGGTGGGACAGAGAAGCTGCTAGAGCTGACTCCTCCCTCCCTGCCTCACCCTAAGGTGTCACCTGTGTCCCCCTACCCTAAGTGCACTAGACCTTGAAGTCCTTAAGGCAGCAGGACCCTGTCTGACTGACATATAAGCAGGCTTAGGGGAACACGTCCCGGGCCCCAGCCCCCACGCACTCCCGTCCCATGCTGTGGACACCTGCTCAGCGCCGCTCAGCTTCCCCGGAAGCTCCCAGCCCCTTGCTCGCTCCCGTGGTAGACCCAAGTGCGCGTCCAAGGATCCCTCCCAGCCCCGCCAGCCCGCACCTGGCCTTTGAGGGCCTCGATCTCGGCCTGGATGCGGCTGATGTTCCGGTTCATCTCGGAGATCTCGGTCTTCGTGCGCCGCAGGTCGTCCCCGTGCTTGCCAGCCTGCAACTGCAACTCCTCGTACTGCAGGCGGGAGAGGAAGTGAGGAAGTGCCCTCGATCCGAGGCAGGGTGCTGTCTGCAGAGCCACGGGGCCTGGGCATCTCGCCCCCTCCATGCACCCCAACAATACCCCCACGGCTCCCAGCAACACGGCTCCTCACCTTGACCTGGTACATGCTCTCAGCCTCGGCGCGGCTGCGGTTGGCGATGTCCTCGTACTGGGCGCGCACCTCGGCGATGATGCCGTCCATGTCCAGGGAGCGGCTGTTGTCCATGGACAGCACCACGGACGTGTCGGAGATCTGGGACTGCAGCTCGCGGATCTCCTGCGGGAGAAGGGGCAGGGAGTGAGGCTCTCGCCACACACAAGGGAGCCCGTCCCCCGAGGAATCCCACGCGGCCGGAGCTCAGAAGTAAAGGTGCAGGCTGAGCCACCCTCCCTGTGAGATGACCCTAGAAAGCTTATTGTACTTCTTTCTCCCAGCCCATTCCTCTGTGAAATACAGAGTGCCTAGGACAGCATCACCTGGGCTGACACTGGTCGCTGTTGGGGCGCTGCGGGCTGGGAGGAGCCTCTGGCTGGGTCCTAGGCTGGAGGGGAGCAAACGGGGCCGGGGGAGGGGGGCCTCTGACTGGGTCCCAGGCTGGGGAGGGTGCCAACAGGGCTGGGGGGAAACCTCTGGCTGGGTTCCAGGCAGGGGGCACCAATTGGGGCCAGGAGGAGAAGGCAGCCTCCGGCTGGGTCCCAGGCTGGGGGTGGCGCCAAAGGGGCCAAGGGGGACGCCTCTGGCTGGGTCCCAGGCTGGGGGCGGTGCCAACAGGGCTAGGGGGAGGGGGAACCTCTGGCTGGGTCCCAGGCTGGGAGCCACTTTTCGGCCCCAAGAACACACCTCTTCGTACAGCTGCCGGAGGAAGTTGATCTCGTCCGTCAGCCCCTCCAAGCGAGACTCCAGCTCAACCTTGTTCATGTAAGCTTCATCCACGTCCTGGGGGTGGGGCAAAGGGCAAGGGGGGATCTGAGCCAAGTGTCCCCCTCCAACTCCAACCCAGGGGCTCCCCAACATCCGTCCACTCAGTGGCCCGGATGTAGGTCCTTCTACCCAACTGCCCTCCCCACCCCACTTTGTGGCCTGATTCTCCAGGACACCTCTGCACCTGCACTCCAAATGCACCTAACCATCTGTCCTCGGCTTCCTGTCCATGCTGTATTAACCAGAAAGCGCTCTGACACTGAAATAAACCAACCCTTCCCACGACTTAGAAACGCGTCAAGACAAAACCTAGGGAGCCGCTGCCTCTGAGCCCCAGGCCACAGCCCCCAGTGTCCGGCTGGGGTACAGGAGCTCCTCACCTTCTTAATGAGGACAAACTCATTCTCCATCTCCGTGCGTTTGTTGATCTCATCCTCGTACCTGGTGTGGGAGATTCAGCATCAGACAGTGGAGGCGAAGGCAGGGGAGCCCAGGGTCTGGGGGTGTGGTCAGAGCCGGGGCGGTGGGGGTGGGGGGGGTAGGCTATCTAGAAAATTCAGCTCATGGTCATGCAAGATGCAAGACAGCTGCTCCTGCTGCCTGCCCCAGCGCAACCTCAGCCAGTGGAGAAGCCTAGAGCAGAAACTCTCTCTCTCTCGCAGATCCATAAAGATGCATGGCACTGGGCATGCTGGCTGAAGGTCAAGGGTCAGAAATAAGCAGGGGCCAGGGCTTAAGTATCAACGTGAGCGCTGGTGGCCACCAGCTCCCTGGTCTCAGGGTCACTGCATGAGCAAATAATTTGCTGTCGAAACCTGGACGGTTAGAGGACGGAGAGGAGGTGAGTCACAGGGTCACCTAGCAACACAGGGCCGCATGGCAGGCTGGGCCCAGGGCAGGCTGCACCGAGCTGGGCGGGCGCGCTGGGCTGGGGCTGCTCACTTGTTCTTGAAGTCCTCCACCAGCCCCTGCATGTTGCCAAGCTCCGCCTCCAACTTCAGCTTCTCCTGGCCCAGCGCCTCCAGCTGCCGCCGCAGGTTGTTGATGTAGCTCTCGAACATGTTGTCCATGTTGCTGCGAGCTGTCTTCTGCTGCTGCAGGAGGCTCCACTTGGTCTCCAGCATCTTGTTCTGCTGCTCCAGGAAGCGCACCTGCACGGGGGGAGGATCGAGCAAAGAGGTGCTGAGCCGGCCAGGGATCGAAGGGGGCTGGCACCCAGGCACTGTCTCTCCCCAAAGCTGTGAGGTCCCCCAGGGTCCCCGTCAGCTGTCTGGGAGGATCAGCCAGGACCGGGGCGGGGGACAGGGGCACAGCATGGTGAGCTGGCCGGCAGGTCCCTCTAGCCTTGGCAGACGGGGCGGAGGGGCGTTTTCATAGCTACTGGCATGATTTTAAAGCGGCATTTGCAGAATAAGCTTTTGTTTACTTAGTTTGTATGTTACAGACCAACAGAAATAGATAAGCAGTGTAAAGATGCTTTGCTTTCCGTTCTGTAGAAGATTGATAAAGAAAATGTTGGGGCTGGCGTTGGGGCACAGCAGGTGAAGCCGCAGCCTGCGACAGCAGCATCTCATGCAGGACCAAGTTCAAGATCGGCTGCTCTCTTCTAATCCAGCTCCCAGCTAATGCACCTGGGAAAGCAGCGGAGGATGGCCCAAGTGCTCAGGTGCCCACGTGGGAAACCCAGTGGAGTGCTGGGTTCTTGGCTTCTGCCTGGCCCAGCCCCAGCCAATGTGGCCATTTCAGAATCAATGGTTGGAAGATATCTATCTCTCTGTCTCTGTCTCTGTGTGTGTGTGTAACTCTGCCTTTCAACTAAGTAAACCTTTTTTAAAAGAAAATGGAGATGATTTATATTAAATACTATTGCCACCCTTAGTATTTGGAGTGACTTTGAAGGATTCGTGCAGATGGCAGAATCGGCAACCCCACCCCGAGGACAGCCGTGGCCAGGAGACCTGTGTCCCAGCCACCCGGTGGGAGCCGCTTCCCTTCTCACAGCCTGGTCCCCCCCATGGCAGCGGCCCGGGCCCTCTCAGGAGCCCCACCTCTGCAGGGAGCTCCGGCAAGAGACCAGGGTGCTGGGCCTGCAGGCTTGACCTCCGAGCATTCCCCTCTGCCCCAACCACAGAGGCCTTGGTCCCTTAGGCTCCAAGAACCCAGATTGCAGAATGACAATAAGGCAACTTTTAGGGGGATTTTTTTTATAAAGAGAAACAACAATAGATTTGTTCCAAGAAGGGGAAATGTATTCTCTTTTTTTGTTGTTAAATACATAGATATATTCTATTTGTCAAGAGATGTCAGTTTCATTTAGAATATTCAAGTACAAAAAAATGAAAATTTATATACGCATATGGCTGTTCAAAAAAGTTAGAAACCATTAAAACGTTCTGAGAATTCTACTACGGCAATGAATGCAAATATCCCTGAGACAGGGCATCTAAATAATGGATTCTTTTTTAATCCACACAAATTCGTAACTCTGTAAACTAGGGAGACTTGGGAGAGAAGGGTATCCCAAGGCTGCAGTCTCGTTCACACAATTCTGCAAATCCATTTTCTTTCCCAGGCTCATTCCAGCCCCTCAAATCATTAAAAATACCAGTCAGGACTAAGGGAACGCTTAGCACGGGCCAATCACTGCCAAGGTCTCTACGAAGATCGTATGTCTGAACAGGCCAGAAACTCTTTGGTTCCGGCATCATCAAGCCCGTTTTTACACATGAGAAAAACGACTCCGCAAGGCAGGCCCCGCCAGGTTGCACCGTGAACCAGCACTGGGGACTGCACAGCTCAACTGTTCTCTGCAAGGCCCCCAGGACCCGCCAGCGCCGACCAAGGCTGCCCTGAGGACGCTGCGGGAGCCCTGCCAGCGGCTGGGGGCCTCCCCGCAGAGGGGGCGTCGCGGGGGCGGGGGCACTCCAGCTCCTACAGCGGAGATCTGCCTCGGGACTTGGCTCCTCCCGTTCCCACAATGCCTGCCTGGGGCCTGCCAGCGCCCAGGCGCCCAACCCTGGGGCCCCCGAGGCGGCTCAGCCCCAGGGCTGCAAAACCCGGCCTGGCTCCTTTGTGCAGGCGGAGCCGGGGTAGGAAGAGCGACAGAGGCGAAAGGCCGCGAGGGCAAAGGGGCGTGGACGGGCGCGTTATCTGAAGCCATAAACTCTGGGGTTTAACAGGACCCGAAACACGGGCGGGGTGTGCTACGCCCGCAGACTTTGAATCCCGGATGGGCTTTCCTGGCCTCTCCCCTCTCCCTGGCCCTGACAACCGCGCGAATGCAGCCAGGTGCAGGCGCGCACGCACGGTCCCCGCGCCCAGCGCGGAGCTCAGCCCCGCACCCCTCGGCGGGGACCGGGGCGGGGCTCGTCCCCGCCCACTGCCGCCTCCCGGGCAGGGGCCAAGTCCTGACTCATACGGGCGCCCCCAGCACTCGCGCCCTGGGGCCTCAGAGGCCTCCCTCGATATTTGCCCGAGGGAATCCACACATCCTACTTTCTTCTAGAAACCCATCGACCCCCGCCCCGCACCCCGACCCCCGCCCCGCACCCCGCGTTGGAAAGTGTGAAAAGGGGAAGAAAGCGGCAGGTGGCCGTGTTGGGGAGCTCCTGGGGACTGCCCTGCCCCTTCCCCGCCTACTCCCCCAACAGCTGTTCCAGCTGGGAGCGAGGCTGGCGCTGGGGGAGAGACCACTTGGAATTACAGGCACGCCTGTGCCCCACCCCAAGCCAAAGTGGCCTGGATGGGTGGGACCAGCAGGACACCACAGCGAGCCTGGGAGGGTGGCCAGGAGAAAGGGCGGGGACCCTCACCTTGTCGATGAAGGAGGCGAACTTGTTGTTGAGCGACTTGATCTGCTCCTTCTCCTGCGTGCGCACCGCCTGGATGTTGGGGTCCACCTCCAGCTTCAGCGGGCTCAGCAGGCTCTGGTTCACTGTGACGGCTGTGATGCCCCCGGCCCCAACCGGTGCACCACCGTAGCCCCCGGCCAGACCCATACCAGCACCCCGGAAGCTGCTACCCACGCGGGAGAAGCTCGAGGAACTGATGCGGGCACCGGGCGCGCTCGTGTACGAGCGGCTGCTGAACGCCCGTGGGCCGGAGGTGGACACCTTGTAGGACTTCTGGGTCACTCGGATGGACATGGTGGAGGCTGGAGCAGAGGCAGGAGGGCCGAGCCAGGCAGAGGGTGCAGACGGAGCCGGAAGAGCTGCTTCCAGGTGCAGGAGCAGCTCCCAGGGGTGGCCCTTTATAGCGGAGAGCCCAGCCCACAGGGAGGGAGAAAGGCCTCGTACCTGAGTGGCTAGGTCCAAAGGGGCCGGGCCTAACCCGACACCTGCCACCTCCAGAGAGGACTCAGGTGGGGGCAGCAGAGAGCTGCTCCCACCCAGGAGCCGGCCCCAGCCCTGAGCCCACTCCCGAGCTACCCCAGAAACCCAGGAAAGGAATTCCAAGAAGGAAGGAACCCGCCTGGCCTGCCGTGGGCGGTGGACTGAGCGCGCAAGCTATGGGGAGACTTGCGCGGTCGGCCGGACGCTGGCGTCCTGGCTGCTTCCCGCCTGTGGGGAATACACCCAGGCCTGGGAAACCTGGCAGGAAGGGGGCCCCTGGCGGTCAGGGCAGCAGACACCCCAAAGACACACCCTCCTGCTTTGAGTAGCCACAGGGGTCTTAGGAGACCCTTGGGTTCTGAAGCCTCGGCTGTGAGGTCAACCTTTAGCCGTGTTTCTCCAAGTTCCTGCTGTAGCACCACCACCCCCCCCTTCCTCGTATGCTGCCAAGGGGGGCTGGGTAAATATTTGTGGAATGAATGAAACACACACAGGTTGGCTGTCATCCCTCTGGGTTTGTACTGGGGGGGAGATACAGATCTAATAACAGCACTTTTCCTGGGCCCAACCCAGTGCCCCACACTCCTCCCAAGATCCCAGGAGTCCCTGGGCCACGCTGGGCACTGGGAGCCTTGCAGAGAATGCACAGCCGGGGCTGAGAGGCAGGGAAGGCGGGGTGAGGGGGGGTGGGGCACTGGTACAGGGGAGCTGCACTGGGAGTCTTGGACATCCTTCCCACGGCTTCCCGTGGGTCACTCGTGGGAAGTGAGACAGTGTGGTGGGCGTGGGTGGAGTGGGCGGTGCTGGTGTGCCAGGCACCAGATCCTCTTCTCTGCCCAGGCCCCCAGCTGGCCAGAGGAGCTGGAGCCAGAGCCAGAGTCCCTGCACCTGTCTCCCTGAACCCATTACCTGAGTGAGTCAGGAGAGCAGGCTAGGGCGCGGCCTGCCCCGTGGGAGGTTAGAGACTGGGGAGCTGCAGGCCTGGGTGGGGCCAGGCGGGGCAGGCTGTGGGTGGAAGGCAGAGGTTTGGGTCCCCAAGGCAGAGATTCCGCCTGCAATTACCTGATGGCTGGGGCTGGGTTCTCTGGAAGACACCGCGGGGCATTGTGGAGGGACTGGATGGGTCGGAGCTTAGCTAAGGGGGCCGACAGCTGCCAGACACCCAGGGGCCCTGGGGAGAGGGAAGGTGGCACACAGCCCCCACCCAGGGAGGCAGCAGGTGCACGGATTGCATCCAGTCCTCCAGGACACACACCAGGCTCCCAAAAGGATAGGCACTTGGGACCCTTACCCAGAGGGACACCCAGAAGCTCCCTCCTGGGGGGGGGGGGAGGGGCAAAAGACACAGACACACTGAAGTCCCTTCCAGAAAGAAAAACCCAGGGACCCCCATCGAGGACACCATAGCCACACCCCTCCCCCTCCCCCTCCTCCTCCAGCCCTGGCCCCGTCTGCAGAGGGAAATCCACTTAGAACCTGCTAACTCGGGGCCCTCCTCCCCCAACCCCTTTCAACAAAGCCTAATGTTCCAAAGCTGTGGTGGGAACACTTGCCCCCCTCCCCTCGCCAACACCCACCCCCAGCAGGGCGAAGTGGCTTCTTCCAAAAGACCAGAACGCACAGGGTTGGGCCCGTGCCAAACCTGGGACAGGGGAGGCGGAAGGAGAGAGAGAGAGAGAGAGAGAGAGAGAGAGGGAGAGGGAGGTGCTGGTCAAACAGGTATGGCAGCCCTGGCAAGTGAGAGCCAGCTCTCCCTTTCTCCCCTCCCCCACACCGACGGACAGGGGGCTCAGAGGGAAGGGGCCGCCCCCACCCCCACCCGGGTCCCCATTTGTGCAGCCAGAGGAGTGTCCCACAGCAACCCGGAGCCCTTCCCGCTACCCCCAGCTACCTGGGTCCCTGGTTCTAAAAGTGTCCCTAGCTTACAGTGAGGACAAGAGGGGCTGCAAGGCACCGTGGGGGAGTACACGTGGGGTGGGGGGTGGCTGGCTCTGACCTCACCCAGAGCAAGGGCCTCTTTCCTGGGCAGCCCGGCCTGGCCTGAGCTGAAAGCATTTGCGTCTCACTTGTCAGCTCCTTGCTGTCCAGGGACCCCCGCCAGCCCCTCCCCGCCGGGCTGCCCCCTCTCCAATGGCTCCTGCCTGGAAGCCCAGGGGTGGAGGCAGAAGGGAAAGGCCCACGGGACCAGGGCCAAGTGGGGAGGAGAGAGCAAAGCGGACAGGGCGGGACGGCAGGTACAACTCCTTACAAGGCTGTGTTGGTGGTGCTGCGGTCTACGAGCCAGCCACGGCTCCAACAAAAGGCCAGCCAGCTCAGCCCCGAACCGCCTTTTCCTGGAGAGCGCTCCAAGGAGGCAGGGCCGGGGCTGAGGGAGGAGGAGGCAGGGTGCCTGCTGGTGCTCACAGGCACGGGAAGAGATGGTCTCAACAGGCTCTGCCCAGCAGCCAGGGCTGGGGGTACCATATTCACGGCAGCACCGTGCCAAAGAATGGGCACCAGCCAACATCCCGCAGCCATGAGTGGACAAACAAGAGGTGGCCCAGCCACCCAGGGGATTACATTCCCCAAGAAAGAGCGCTGAGGGAGGTCAGCCCTGTGGTGCAGCGGGTTAAGCCACCGCCTAAGATGCCAGCATCCCCTATGGGCTCCGGTTTGAGTCTCAACTGCTCCACTTCTGATCCAGCTCTCTGCTGTGGCCTGGGAAAGCAGTGGAGGATGGCCCAAGTCCTTGGGCCCCTGCACCTGTGTGAGAGATCCGGAAGAGGCTCCTGGCCCAGCCCTGGCTGTTGAGGCCATTTGGGAAATGAACCAGCATATGGAAGGTTTCTCTCTTTCTCTCTCTCATATCTGCCTTTCAAATAAACAAATAAATCTTTTTTAAAAAATAAAAAGCTGAGGATCCATGCATGCCAGTCTGGGTGGACCTTTTGTTTAGTTGGTTTATTTTGTTTTTTAGGATTTATTTTCATTTATTTGAAAGGCAGAATGACCCAGAGAGACAAAGAAAAAGATCTGCCACCTGCTGATTCACTCCCTAAATGGCCTCAAAGGCCTGGGCTGGGCTGGGCCTAAACCAAGGGCAGGGAACTCCATCTGGGTCACCCACAGGGTACAGGGGCCCAAGCACCTGAGCCATCTTCCGCTGCCTTCCCAGGCGCATCAGCACTGGATTCGAACCAGTGCTCCACCATCGGATGCTGGTTTCTAAGGAAGTGGCTTAACCTGCTGCCCCACAGTGCCAGCCCTTGGGTGAACCTGGAAAACAATCTGATGAAGGGGCGGGAGGGGGGCAGGTCCCAGAAAGCCACCTGCTGCAGGTGCCCATGCAGAAGAAATGCCCGGAGCAGGCAAAGCCACAGAAAGGAGCCTGGTGGTTGTCCAGGGCCGAGAGGCGGGAGGTGGAGCGATGGGGGTGAACGTGATGGTGAAATGGCACAAGTCTGAGAACACAGTGCACATTGTGGAATCGCACGGCATGTGAGAGCGAGCTCAGGAAAGTCGTACGGAAGGAGAAAGCGGGAATTGTATCTGATGAGCAGGGGCTTTGCGTGGCACGCAGGGGCCAGGGGAGAGCAGGGAAGGTACACAGACTCCCCGCCTCTGAGTTAGAGCGATGCCCCCCAAGGTACAGCCATCACCTTAAAAGCTGGGGCAATTTGCAATGTGGTTGGCATAGAAATAGCTGAGTCTAGCAGAGAGGCGACCAAGCAATTAAGCGGGAAGCCACAGATGGTGGGGTGGCCTCTCCCTCCCTCCAGAAGCCTCACCATGAATAATAAAGTTGATCTGATTATTGATTTTATGCCGTGTGCTCCAGGCCAAAATTGTGCACAGTTAATGCTTAGCAAATGTGTCTTTTCTCTTCACGGTGAGCGGTGCCTCTGATGATCCAAGCCAGCTAGGACGCGAGCGGACCGCCTGGAGGGCCAGCAAACTACGCCCGCAAGCTGGGGTGGGGGACTCCAGCTCGCTCACCAGCTGTGCCCTGGGATCTGGACAAGCGCTTCCAAACCCTGCCAACTCGGAAAGCCCGTGGTCCACGGCCCACCACCATGGGGCTTTGTACACAGAAAACAGGGCACCTTTGAAGGGTCTCTGTGTTCCCAGCCCCCACGCTCCAGCCCCAGCTGCTGTGACCCAAGGTCTATTGTTCTGAGTTCCAGCTGGGTGAGAACCTGAGGCCCAAGGTGGGAGTGGGGCAGGGACCAGAGAGAGGTCTTTTGTTCCTCATTCTTTGAATTCACCAGGTCCAACTTTTTTCTCCACTGGGTGCTCACCAGGTGCTGGCCGGTAAATGGGGGAACGGCAGCAGGGGGCTGGGCGTGGGGGGGCTCCTCTTAAATTGTTCAGGTGCAGGAGGGAAGCTCCCAGCTCCTTTGCCCAAGGCAAGGTGTCTCCTGAAGGTTAGGAAGTGAGCGTTAGCCATCATTAATTCAACCAGCCGTCATTAATTCAGCCAGCTGTCATTAATTCAGCCTGCTGGGGAACGGGTTAATCAGCGTAGGCTCCCAGCCTTAGGAGGAGATGCGCAAACACATAAAGTCACTGAATCCCACACCGTAGTGGTCATACTTAGGGCAAATAGTGCTTTGCAAATATTAATTCACTTCATCTTCATATGAACTCCATAAAGCAGTTGCTGTAATCATGCACACACTCCCAAGGTCACACACAGCAGTGCGCCCCCTTCTCCCTGCTCCTGGCCACTGCCCCGCACCCACCCGCCCCCGCCCGGGCTGACGAGAAGGGCCATTTTTCTTGGTTTCCCGACGCACAGGACCAGAGACGCGTCCACAGCTGGTATAGAGCGGAGAGCTGCACAGCACTGGCCCAAACATGTGGGTGGGCAGTGCTCAGAGAGGGGTTCTGGAGTCTCCGTGGCCCTGCCCCCACCCGCAGCTGAGGCCACTCCTGCCAGCACTGCTCTCCTTTGGGCAAGGTGGGTGGGGCCAGGCCAGGGGCTATGGACAGTCGGAGGACTGACAGACCCAGAGGGGCGGCTCAGCTCCTGGTAGGCAGTCCCCCACCATAAAGGCCCTCACTGCCCACTGCCGGCGTCCAAGGCCAGCCGTGCCACCCACCCACCCCCGCCCACCAGAAACCCACTGTCCCCGGGCATCACGCCATCCCTGTGTGCTCCTCAGATAGGGTTGCTATTGGCCACCATCACCCACGCGAGTCTCAGGGGACCTGTGTGGATCCCAAGCAGGTATTTTTTTTTAGCAAGTGTTTTTATTTTTTTAAGACTTATTTATTTTTTGAAAGGCAGAGCAACAGAGATTGGCAGAGAAAGGGGTAGAGAAAGAAAGGGGGGGCTCTTCTGTTCACTGGTTCATTCCCCAGATGCCCATAACAGGGCTGGACCAGGTAGAAGCAGGAGCCAGGAACTCCATATCTGGGTCTCCCAGGAGGGTGCAGGGGCCCAGGTATGTGGGTCATCCTCTGCTGCTCTCCCAGGCACCTTAGCAGGGAGCTGGATCCGAGGGAGAGCAGGCAAGACGTGAAGGAGCACTCCGCTGTGGGGTGCTGGTGTCACAAGCCGTGGCTTAACCTGCTGCACCACAACACCAGCCCCTTCATTTTATCTTTGAATTTGACTCTAACTTTTTTTTTAGAAACTTATTAGAAGGACAGATTCAGAGACAGTCTCCCTCTTGTTGGTTTATACCCCAAATGCCCACAACAGCCGGTGTTGGGCTGGGGCCAGAGCCAGGAGCCAGGAGCCAGGAACTCAATCCAGGGCTCCCACGTGTTTATCAGAGCCAGGAGTCGAACCCAGATACTCCAGTGGGGATGTGGGCATTTTCCCCACCAGGCTAACTAAAGGCGTGCTCCTGCCCAGGACTCCCCATATCCAGCTCAAACAGCCTGCAGCACAAGACATCATTTATTAGCTCCCGAAGTTGGGAGGTTCAGGGGCGCATCCAGCTCTCAGCCTAGCCAGGTGAGGGCTCAGTGACGTCACCAGGACCACTTTCTCCACTTCTCTCAGCTCTGTCTCCCTCTGCTGTGGTTTCATCCTGGGACAGGTCACATTCACTCTGTGACAAGGCCGCCACCGCGGGAGTGCATCTCTCCCGATGCTTCCAGCTGATGGTCCCAGGCTGAGTCTTCAGGCTGCGTATCTCTGAGCCAATGCCTGTGACGAGGGAACAGAATGCTGTTTGCATTAGAACCAAGGCAGGCGCCAGGCCCCAAGGGAGGAGCAGTCAGCCCCACCCAGTACAGAAGTCAGAGCAAGGGGCGGGGGCTGCGGCGTAGCTGGTAAAGCTGCCGCCTGCAGCACCAGCAGCCCATGTGGGCACCAGTTTGAGACCTGGCTACTCCACTTCCAATCCAGCTCCCTACTGATACAACTGGGAAAGCAGCGGAGGATGGCCCAAGTGCTTGGGCCCCTGCACCCATGTGGGAGACCTGGAAGGAGCTCTTGGCTCCCGGCTTCCACCTGGCCTTGCCCTGGCTGTTGTGGCCGTTTGGGGAATGACCCAGGCGATGGAAAATCTCTGTCTCTGTCTCTCTTTCTGCCTCTGCCTCTCCTTCTCTGAAACTCTGCCTTTCAAACAAATAAATAAGGCGGGGGGGGGGGGGGTGGCGCAAAAAGATGGGATTCTCTTTGTCCATACAGGCAGAAATGACAGCTGCTTGTTACATCCATTCATGCGAAAGTACACAGATAAAGACCCGGAAATACAGAGATGTAAAGATAGCAGCGTCCACATGGAGCCCTCATATAAATACAGATTCTACCTGCCCCAAGTCCGCCTTCTGTGCCTTGTCAACACAGTCTGGGTCTCAGATAAAGAAGAGATTCAGCGCAGGCTGTAGGACCTCAGAGGGGGGCGGGAGAGGCCCTGGGCAGGCGGAGCTTGGAAAGTAAGGCGCTGGGTGCAAGGGACAAAACTAGAGGTGACCTGGGCGGGGTGGGGAGGCATGGGGCACAGCCAACAGGATGTGGCCCTTGACTGCAGGGCTGTGAGTCCAGAGTGATTCACAGATGCACTTCCGGTTAGCTACCTGCTGCACCTGGGCACCCTGTGCTCCAGCCAGACTGGTGCATGCACCTGGCCGTGGGCCACGGGGCTTACCCTCACGGCCGCGCTCAGCCCAGCAGTTTCAGCGCCAGCTTCTCGGAGACAGGACAGCCCCTCCAGGCATCCGAGAGCAGACGCTGCAGAGTAAAGGGGTCGCCCTTGCCTCGTTGGCTTTGCACGTCTCTCCCGCCACGGGGCTGCCTTAAAACCGCCATGTGTGCTGCTGAGGGCCTACTATGTGCACTACGTCTAAACTCAGAGACTCTGCCAGGGACGCAGTGCCCGCGTCCACCAGGCCTTGAATGCGCGTAACGAGCAGCTCAGCGGGCTGACGTGGGTGAGAGAGAAGGAGCCTGGGCCTGGCCCCCGTGGGCTTCCGATCCCTGTGACTACGGCTCCCAGCACCCCTCGCTGCCCGTGCCCTGCCTGCCCTGCAGCCTCACCCCACGCAGCTTCCCCCGTCCCGCATGGTCTTCACCACCCACACCGAGGCCATGTGACCAGCACCACTCTGAAACACGTGTCTGATACGGCAACCTCCTTGCAGACAGGGCAGTGTCCCGGGCACTTCCTGTTCTCTGCAGTGCCTGCCTGGCCCACCGGTGGGGGCTCAGAGGTGTTGAGGTGTGGAGGGTGCAAAGAAGTTTGAGGTGACAGCGGGACTAGGAGGAGGGGTCTCTAGGAGAGCCATAAGGAGAACAGGCAAAACTCTGCCTGCATGCAAACCAGAACTTTGCAAATCCAGGTGTCAGGGAGCCAGCCATGCAAATGGAGCCCTGCCCCCCATGCTCACCCCCTTCTCGAACTCAGCCCGAGACCCTGCCCTGCTGCTGCTGACCGGTGGCGGCGGTGATGGGCAGAAGGATGACGATAGAGGTGGCTCTCACCGACTGAGTTCCTTTGAAGCGTCAGAGCTCTCCCGCAGGTTACTCCTAGTCCTAACATAACCCAGGGGGAGATAGCATTACCCCATTTTACAGATAAGAAAACTGACACTCCGGGGTCTTCAGTTGGTGTGACGGAGTTAGACTCTGAACCCAAGTCTAATCCTGTCGTGGAGAGATGATGTCCAATTGTTATTATGTTTTTATTTATCTGAAAGGCAGAGTTACAGAGAGAGAAGGAGAGACAGAGAGAGATCTTCCATCCGCTGGTTCACTCCACAAATGGCCACAATGGCCATTGATGGGCCAGGCTGAAGCCAGGAGCCAGAGCTTCTTCCGGGTCTCCCACGTGGGTGCAGGGGCCCAAGCACTTGGACCATCTTCTACTGCTTCCCCAGGTGCATCAGCAGGGAGCCAGATCGGAAGTGGAGCAGCCTGAACTCGAACTGGCACCCACATGGGATGTCGGCGTCAGACACAGCAACTTAACCCACGAGGCCACAGCGCTGGCCCTGCTGTCCGGTCATCAAGAGCAGTCTTTGAATGTTCTTCATTAAGAGGAGTGATCAAGTCGATAACCCAGAGTAGAAACAGGACACTCACTCATCCAGATTACCTGTCCCGTGTTGGGGCTACCTGAGGGACTTGGAGAGCTCCCCAAGGCTAGCACCTGCTGTCTCGTTGGCTGCCCTGGCCACACTATTAGAAGCACCCAGCAGCTGGAGTTGCTTGCGACTTCAGCATCCCACATCCGAGCCCCCGTTCTGTCAGCAGAGAGGAGTGGAATAGGTCCTGGTGTTCATGCAAGGAAGAACCCAGACGTGAGGCAGAGGGGTCAGCAAGGGGGCAGGGCATCCGTGAGAACAGACATGCACCTCTCCAGACAGAGTCAGGGGGAGAGAGAGTGCCCAATCATTCAGACAGGGAAAGCCAGGGTCCCCGGTCTGCTGGAGGCCGGGGGGCGGCTCAGGCGAGCGCTGAGCACTGAGCGTACAGTCTGCGCTCACACTGGGGCTTAGAGGGCAAGGAGGCCAGTGCACCCCGCTGTCTCTCCTTCCCTCTCTCTCTTCTCCTGGACAAAGGGTTTGCGTGGAAGAGCATTCCCTTAGGGCCCCTCCCTGGGGGAAGGCTGGGGCCTCCTGAAATCTATCAGGGCCTGGGCAGGACTCTGCGGTGTACAATACAGGGCTGCTTCCAAGGAGTGCTTTGCTGTCCTTAGGGCCCTCGCGTACACATAGGCTAATTTCTAACTTCCTCCCTAACAGTGCCACTGCTGGCTGCTCAGCTTCCGATCCAGCCCCCTGCCAATGCACCTGGGAAAGAAATGGATGATGACCCAAGCACCTGGGCTCCTGGCACCTATGTGGAAAACCGAGATACAATTCTTGGCTCCTGGCTTCAGCCTGGCCCAGCCCTGGTCGTTGCAAGCATCTGGGGAGTGAACCAGCAGATCAAGACCTCTCTCCCCTCTCTCTTTCTCTCTGTCTTTCCCTTTTGCCCTCTAGCTATGACTTTCAAATAAATAAATACATCTTAGAGAGAGAGAGAGGGAGGCGGAGACAGTCTCCCAGCTTCCCTGGACTGTAAGGGCTAAGACAAGTCCAAACATGGACACGATTGACACAGTGACCCATGCATAGGTCCTGGAGAAACAATCTGCTGACCTGGACAGTGAGTAGGGGCTGGGCCTGGGCCAGCTCAAGCCAGCTTTGCCTCCAGGATGTGTTGGGCTCGCTGCCATGGCAACACCACGGCATTCTGCGTTGTTACATTCCTCACCAAACTCCAGGCTGAGACACCCACTCCCCAGGGCCACACCCCAGCCTCTCTCCTGCCCAGGTGACCGGCCAGGGAGCACTGGGAGAAGCCTGGGCAACAGAAGTAGCTTCTAGAACATGGGAGGCAGAGGAGGGAAAGCCATCTCTTTCCCAGACCAGAGCCTCCTGCTCAGTGTTCAGTGGCACTGGAAGGCAAAGTGCCAGGCCGGCGGCTCCCACATCTCCCACAGGAACCCTCCACCCCCAGCTCCCCCAGGGCTGCATCCTCTTCCACTCGGCTGTCAGCTCCTACGCAAACTCTCTTTCCGCCTGGCCTCCCTCTCTGCCCCTGCAGCCTCTGGTACCTCCTCCAGGAAGCCCTCCAGGCAGCCTCGCGCTCCCAGGCTTCTCCCTCTAGTCCTCTAGCCTGCAGCCTTGCACTGTGCGCTCTGAGCTCTGACCTGGGTTTCCCAGAGCTGGACGTAAGCCTAGGCAATCCCCGGGCCAAGGAGTTCTCCTAAGGTGCTGATTACAGTTTTGTTCGTGCCGGAGCTATGAAGGAAGAAGTGTCCTATGCATTTTAGAGCCGAGGACCTAGCCTAAAGGTTGCAAGGTAGCCTGAGCTGCAGGCACTCCGGCACTGACCCTGCAGCCTCTTGGCTCCTCCCTTCCCCCTGTCCCTAGAGGACGGCTATGCCAGGCACTCCCTGGGACTTTTACAACCCCACTAAATCCTCACAATGAAACCCACGAGGAAAGTACACACAGCCTCATTTTACAGCCAAGGATACGGAAGCTCCAGAACTTTCCACACATTTCCTAAGGTCAGCCTAAGCGTAGAGTCAGAGTGGCGGCCAGCTCTCCTGGCGGCCACCCAGAGTCACCTTTCCCCCTGCGCTGGGGCTCGCCAGAGACAGGCGGCGGGAGTCAGGAGACGGGACTGCAGATTCCCTGGCCGGGCAAGATATGCCTGCGGCCAGCCGGCACCCCTGGCGAAAGGAGGTGCCTCCCGGAAGGCCTGCAGGAGCTCCCCGCTGACCCGGGCAGCCGAGGGCCCAGCGACTGACCAAGGGCAGCTTGAGGAGCCCCCCCGGGCTCTGCCCCCTCCCTGGTCCTAGGCTCCTCCCTCTCTGCAGAGCTGTGACCTCCTCCAGAGCCCTCCAGAATTTGTGACGAGAAGCAACTGTTCTCGGATGCGTGGCTAGAATTAAACAAAATTCAGGCAGGATTCTCTTTACACAATTCCTGGGACAATGTGGAGCAGCAGGAAAGCAAATTTGAGGATCCTATCCCAGCTTGATTCTCCTCTCCACTGGGTCTCTAACTCTGTGACGGGGAAAGTGTCACTTCTCCTCTCTGCGTCCCAAAGGGGAGGGACGCTTGACCTCTGCATCCAGTAGTAGTGGGGATTAGATCCTTGATTGTTGAAATTACTAAATTAATTTTCTCTCTTTGAAAGACACACTCCAAATGCCCACCACAGCCAGGACTGGGCCAGGTCAAAACTGGGAGTGTGGAATTGCATCGGGGCGCCCACATGGGAGGCAGGGACACAGCTCCTTGAGCCGCCACCTGCTGCCTCTGAGGGCGCAAGAAGCTGGAACTGGAAGCAGAACCGGGATTCGAACCGAGGTTCTCCAACACAGGTTGTGGGCGTCCTAAGAGGTGTTGTAACAGCTACACCAAATGCACACTCTGATTATTATTTTTTTTAATTTATTTATTTACTTGAAAGTTACACAGAGGGAGAAGGAGAGGCAGAGAGAGGAGAGAGAGGAAGAGAGACAGAGAGAGAGAGAGGTCTTCCATCCGCTGGTTCACTCCCTAAGTGGCCACAACAGCCAGGGCGGAGCCAAGAGCTTCTTCCGGTTCTGCCACGTGGGTGCAGGGGCCCAAGGACTTGGGCCATCCTCCACTGCCTTCCCATGCTCATTAGCCAGGAGCTGGATCAGAAATAGAGCAGCTGGGACTCGAACCGGCACCCATAAGAGATGCCGGCACTGCAGGCTCACGGCTTAAACCGCTGTACCACAGTGCCAGCCCCAGAAATGATTCTCTTGACCCTTCTTTCTGCCTGGGGCAGGGGGCAGAGCCTTTGAAACAGGAGGGTCCCACACAGGGCCAGGACTGCCCGCACTGCAGAGGGTGATCAGGCTGAGGGTGTGGGGGAGGGGGCAGCAGGCCAGGGTGAGGCAGGAGGTGCTGAGCAGGTTTCTGGAATGGGGCTCCCAGGCCTATTCTGTGATTTCCTGTGAATTCCTGGGAAAGGCTGAGTCAGACAGAGCCAGGCGGGGGCTATCAGCCTTATCGCCACCACCCCCGCCTCCAACAGCGCTTAGGAGAGCCATCTCTGGCTTCTGGAAGCTGAGGCTGACTCAGGGCTGGGGGCGGGCAGCGGGCCCCTGCTGCGTGCCCGGATCACCCTGGGACGTGCGATCCGTGCGATCTGTCAGAAGTGAACCGGGAGCCTGTTTGATGGAGGTAGGGGCAGGAGGATGGGGCCTCACAGGTCGGGGGGGATGCCCCGTGTCCTGTAGGCAGCCTCAGATCAGAATCCTGTCCCGACCCGTGGGCTCTGGGGCTGTCGCCTTCATTCTCACTCTGGGACGGGCTCTTGGGTGTGCGGCCTGCTACCTTCTCTCGCCCACCCAGCATTCAAGGCCTTGCCAGCAGTGGGAGCAGGCAGCCGGCCTAGCCGCCTCCTCCCTCCCAAGCCAATGTCCTGAGCCCTAAGCCAGGTGCTAAGGAGGAGAAAGGAGGTAGTGTTTTCCTTCGCTCCCTGCACCCCCGAGAAATTCCTCACTTCGTGCAGGTGCGAAACAGCCCCTGGGTGGGGGGGCTGCCTGAGCCTCCTGGACACGTCCACACTCTCCCCGGGATGGGCCTGTCCCTGTCCCCCCTCCCCCACCCACCCACTCCCAGATGCCCCACTGGTGCCCAGCCGCACTGATCTACAAACACCGCTTTGATCCTCTCCCTTCCCCACTGCCTCCAGAATAAAGGAATAAAGGTCAAATTCCTCACTGGCCAGCTGAGGCTGAGCCTTCCCTACCTGGTACCAGCTGCCCTCCCCACCCCACCCCTGCCCTTCTTCCTGCGGCACCCTCCCCACCCCCACCTGCACCTGCTGAAACCTTACCCTTCCCGCAGGCCCTGGCTCCAGGACACCTCATTCATTCTGCAAACATTTACTGAATGAAAACCATACACCTGGCCCCTCCCCCACCAAGCCTGCCCCAGTCATGCCTGCTGTAACTGCTGTAAGTGGCTGCTCCCAAGAGACCCCGGGAGCCAGCCTTTGATCCCCACCCCTGGGCTGGGTGCTGCTTGCCCTTGGGCACGGCCGAGTTCCCTCCCTGATTGTAAACCCCGGGGGCGGCCACCAACCCTGCACTGAACATGGACAGCTGAGGCCACGCTCTTCCTATTTGCTCCCTTGGGTCCTCACAGTGACCTTGGCAGGTCAGCATTCCCTGTCCTCGGTCACAGACCGGGAACCCAAGGCTCCGAGACGCAGCTTGGCCAGCAAGTGGTGGCCCTGGCACCAGGCACCAAAACACCTCCCTAAAAAGCAGGCCTCTTGGGTCTGCCTCAGCGGCCAGCCCAGGAGCTGCTTCGATTCACTGAATGAATGAATGAATTCAGTCCTACCCTGGGGAGTCTGAGCCCCCCTCCCTTCCCCTCCCTTCCTTTTTTCCTCTGTCCCCACCCCCCACTCGAAGGATCCAGAAGACAAGAAAGAAAGAAGCTGTGACTGCTTTCAGGGATACCAAGGGTTGAAACCAGGCCACCCCAGGCCAGAAACAACTCCCCCGCGGCGGGTAATCCAGACCCCAGTGCGGCCAATGGGTCCAGGTGAGTCCCAGCCCTCCGTCCGCCCCAACTCAAACCAGCAGCACATAGATGGGGCACGAGGGGGTGGAAAGGGACCTAAATTTGGTGACTCACCGTCCTTGGGCCTCCCCTGGGGACTGAGGGGGTGGCTGGACACTTGAAATTCCAGCCAGCCCCATGGGAGACAGTTGGGTGTCAGTGAGTTGGACCGGAGGAGGAAGAGCTCTGTTTATTCCCCAAATGAAGGAGTAGCCATGGCAACGGAGGCCAGAGCCATCAGGGCTGGGGCAAAGGTCCTGATTGGGGGTGGAGTCTTGCGGGCCAGACCCAGCGGGCCCTGCTGGCAGCTCCCAGGAACCGGGCCGGCAGCCGGGCCGTGCCAGCAGGGCCTCCTCTGATCGAGCACCCCCTGGTGGGCAGAGCCTGACCTGGGAGCCTGGGGGCGGATGCCCATTTCACAGGTGCACAGGTCCTCGCGCCCCTCCCAGCCCCACCTGTGGGCCTTCTCTACTGAGAAGAGACAGACTCCAGAGCAAGGCGGGGCCTGGGGGCTCTTGGAACGGAGGCAGCAGGGCCGGGGGCTGTGTGGGGGTGTCAACTAAGGAAGAATGGAGATGGCTTCTGAAGGATAAGAGGGAGCCCCCTCGGAGGGCAGGAGAGACCAGGGCAGCAGGTGTGGGGCACAGGTGACCCTGTCACCTTTTCCCTTCTGCCAGTCAACAAAGTTGCTCGGTGCCCAGAAGGGTCTCCATTGCTGCCCCCACCATTTTTTTTTTAAGATTACAGAGAAAGAGAGAGGCAGAGACAGAGAGAAAGAGAGGCCTTTTTTTTTTTTTTTTTTATGACAGGCAGAGTTAGACAGTGAGAGAGAGACAGAGAAAGGTCTTCCTTCCATTGGTTCACCCCCCAAATGGCTGCTACTGCCGGCGCACTGCACTGATCCGAAGCCAGGAGCCAGGTACTTCCTCCTGGTCTCCCATGCGGGTGCAGGACCCAAGGACCTGGGCCATCCTCCACTGCCTTCCCAGGCCACAGCAGAGAGCTGGACTGGAAGAGGAGCAACCAGGACAGAATCTGGCGCCCCAACCGGGACTAGAACCTGGGGTACTGGTGCCGCAGGCAGAGGATTAGCCTAGTGAGCTGCGGCGCCGGCAGACAGAGGCCTTCTATCCACTAGTACATACCGCAGATGGCTGTGACACTCAGGGCCAGGCCAAAGACAGAAGCCAGGAGCTTCATCTGGGTCTCTCATGTGAGTGCAGGGCCCCAAGCACTTGGGCCATCTTCCACTGCTTTCCCAGGTGCATTAGCAGGAAGCTGAATTGGAAGTGGAACAGCCGGGACACGAACCATCAGCAGCCATATGGGATGCTGGTGCCGCAGGTGGAGGCTTAATTCACTGTGCCAATTCAGCTCCCTGTTAATGCACTTGGGAAAATAGTGGAATTTGGCCCAAGTGCTTTGGCACCTGCCCCAATGTGGGAAACCAGGAAGAAGCTCCTGGCTCCTGGCTTCTGACTGGCCCAGCCCTGACTGTTGTGACCATTTGGGGAGTGAAACACTTGATGGATCTCTCTCTCTCTCTCTCTCTCTCTCTCTCTCTCTCTCTCCATCCCCTCCTTTCTCTGTATCTCTGCCTTTCAAATAAATCTTTGGGGGTAAAAAAAAAGAATCTTGGCCTTGAAAGTCAGGCTCCTTCTAGCTGATCGCATTCATAGCCAGGGAGGCAATGGCTCCAGACCCACATCTGCAGGTACTCATGGGAGCTGCAGTCATCCCCTGGCTGTCCCTCTACAGGTCTCAGAGTGACATCATTGGTAGACAACAGGAGAGGGAGGGCTGGAGCCCCACACACACACACACACACATCCTGGGGGTGGTCCTGGAGCCTGCGTCGCTGGGGGGTTGTGAGGGTGAAAAGGCGGGATGTGTACAGCCGGTGGAGTCAGGCCTGGAACATCCCCGTGCGCAGAGCTGTGGGCCATTGTCGCTGCTGTGCGCTGCTTCTTTGTACACCCTGTTAGACACCAAGGCCAGCCCTCCATCCTCTACATTTCCCGAGTCTTCTTCGCTGCCTTCCGCGGGTTCTCTCGGTCAGAGCACTCGTCATCACTCGCCCACTGGGCTCAGTAACCTCCACTCTTGTCCCTTCATTATAGCCAGCTAGAACGATCTCACCAACATGTATTTTTAAAAGATTTATTTATTTATTTGAAAGGCAGAGTTACTGAGAGAAAGGGGAGCAGAGAGAGAGAGAGATCTTCCATCCACTGGTTCACTCCCCAAATGGCTGCACTCCCCAAATGAAGCCAGGAGCGAGGCATTCCATCCGGGTCTCCCACATGGGTGCAGGGGCCCAAGGACTTGGGCCGTCTTCTGCTGCTTTTCCAGGCCATAGCAGAGAGCTGGATCGGAAGTGGAGCAGCTAGGACTTGAACCGGCATCCACACGGGATGCCAGGATGCCACAACACCAGCCCCATACTATAAATCATGTTAACAAGAGAAACGTGATCTTTGTGAGAGGACAAAGGCGCCTGGCCCAGACCTGGAGGAGGCAGGGAACTTCCCTGAGGGAGTAAGAATACTTGGACTCAGATACGAAGGAAGAGTAAGTTAGCAGAAGACGCTGTAAGGAGGGAAGAGAATGATCCGGAGTGGGGAGTTGCCTGTGCCAAGACCCTGGGTCAGGAGACTGGAATCAAGAGGGAGACAGGTGCAGGAGCAGATGGGGAAGGGGAGGGCCTCGTCCGCTGCCTCCAGGTTCTGGGTCTTTACCATTAAAAAAGAATAATTCGATTCTATTACTCTTTTTTTTTTTTTTTTTGACAGGCAGAGTGGACAGTGAGAGAGAGAGACAGAGAGAAAGGTCTTCCTTTTCCATTGGTTCACCCCCCACCAATGGCCGCTGCGGCCGGCGCACCGCCCTGATCCGAAGCCAGGAGCCAGGTGCTTCTCCTGGTCTCCCATGGGGTGCAGGGCCCAAGTACTTGGGCCATCCTCCACTGCATACCTGGGCCACAGCAGAGAGCTGGACTGAAAGAGGAGCAACCGGGACAGAATCTGGTGCTCCGACTGGGACTAGAACCCGGTGTGCTGGTGCCCAGGCGGAGGATTAGCCTAGTGAGCTGCGGCGCCGGCCCTCGATTCTATTTTTCTTTTTGCTTTTTTTTTTTTTTTAAGATTTATTTGAGAGTCAGAGTTATTGACAGAAAGAAATCCTCTATCTGCTGGTTCACTCCCCAAATGGCTGCAATGGCCAGAGCTGTGCCGATCCAAAGCCAGGGGCCAGGAGCTTCCTCCAGGTCTCCCATGTGGGGGCAGGGGCCCAAGGACTTGGGCCATCCTCCACTGCTTTCCCAGGAGCATTAGCAGGGAGCTGGATCAGAAGTGGAGCAGCTGGGACTTGAACCAGTGCCCATATGGGATGCCAGTACCACAGGAGGAGGCTTAACCTATTATACTACAGCACCAGGCCCAGGACCTAATTATTTTATATTAAGAATAATTTGGGGGCCAGCACTGTGGCGTAGCAGGTAAAGCCACTGCCTGCAGTGCCAGCATCCTATATGGGCACTGGTTCTAGTCCCAGCTGCTCCGCTTCTGATCAAGCTCTCTGCTATGGCCTGGGAAAGCAGTAGAAGATGGCTCAAGTCCTTGGACCCCTGCACCTGTGTGGGAGACCTGGAGGAAGCTCCTGGCTCCTGGCTTTGGATCAGCCCTGCTCCGGCCATTGCAGCCATCTGGGGAGTGAACCAGCGGATGAAAGACCTCTCTCTCTCTCTCTTTATGTCTCTGCCTCTCTGTAACTCTGCCTTTTAAACAAATAAATGAATCTTCAAAAAGAGAGAGAGAGATGATGTGATGACAACTTAGGGCGACAGCAGTGGGGTGGGGTGGGGGGGCTCCAAAACAAGGAAGGACCACGGGAACACAGCTGGAGCACACGCTGGAAGCGGCCACGGCGTCAGGGTGAGCAGACCCAGTGTGCACGCCTCCAACAACAGAGCTCCTTAGCCTCTTTTTTAAAGAGTTCTTCATTTATTGGAAAGGCAGAGTTAAGATAGAGGGAGAGAGAGAGAGATCTGTCGTGTGCTAGCTCACTCTCCAAATGGCCACACACGCCAGGCCTGGATCAGCCCAAAGCCAGGAGCCAGGAGCTCTATCCTGGTTTCCCACATGGGTGACAGGGGCCCAACTCCTCACACCACCACCTGCTGCTTTTCCAGGTGCATTGGCAGGAGCTGAACTGGAAGCCGAGCAGTAGAGCCTAGGACCTACGCTCTGATAGGGGATGCCAGCATCGCAGGCGTCAACAGCCATCAGCACTGGCCTCCAAGGTTTTTTATTTCATTTACCTGAAAGTCAGAGAGAGAGAGAGAGAGAGAGAGAGATCTTCCATCCACTCTGGTTCACTCCCCAGATGGCCGCAGCAGCCAGGTCTCCCATCCAGGTCTCCACATGGGAGGCAGGGGCCCACTTGCTGGGACCATCGTGTGGCTGCCTCCCAGGGTGCACACCAGCAGGAAGCTGAGTGGGAAGTGGAGGCAGAACCAGAATCCAGGCCCTCCAATACGGGATGCAGGCATCACAAGCAGCAGCTCAACCCAGGACACACAACACTCACCCCCACAGAGCTGTTAGAAACATAAAACAGAAATTGACACAACTGAAAAGAAAAATAGACACGTCTAAATTACACTTGGAGGGGCTGGCGTTGTGGTGCGGTGGCTTAAGCCGCCACTTACAACTCTGGCGTCCCATATCTAACAGCCAGTTCTAGTTCCAGCGGCGCTGCTTCCAATCCAGCTCCCTGCCAATGTGCCTGGGAAAGCAGCAGAAGACGGCCAGGGGCTTGGGCTCCTGCCGCTCAGGTGGGAGACCTGGATGGAGCTCCAGGCTCCTGGCTTCAGCCTGACCCAGCCCAGGCTCTTGCAGCCATTTGGGGAATGAACCAGCAAATGGAAGATATCTCTCTGATTTTTTTTCTTCTTTCTCCTTCTCTTTCTTGCTTTCTTTCTTTTTTTAAAAGATTTATTTATTTAGTTGTAAGGCAGAGCTAGAGAGAGAGTCTTCTATCCACTGGTGGAGCAGTGGGGACTCCAACCAGAGCCCACGTGGGATGCGGCACTGCAGCCTGGGGCTTTCCCGCTGTACCACAACGCCAGCCCCTTTCCCTCTCTTTCACTCTGCCTTTCAACTAAATAAATTTTAAATAAAAGAAATTGTATTTTTAAAAAT